AAGACTGAAAGAACTGGGTTTAATTTAGGGATGAAAAATCCTGTTTAGTTGGTTAACTGGTTACATCTATTGTTTAACCCATTAACCAATTAAAGGGGTTGGAGCAAGCCAACACCTATGCGTGTTGCGATGAGGGGCTGCTCCAGACACCTATCGGTTAACTGGTTAAGGGTGATGCTTACTAGTTAACTGGTTAACCTTTCACATCCCTAGTTTGAAAAAGAGAAGACTGAAAGGGGATATGATATCAGCTTTCATGTACCTAAAAGAGTTACAAAGAGTAGGGAGAAAAATTAATCTCATATGATAGGAAAAGAAGCAATGGGCTTAAATTGTAGTGATGGATGTTTAGATTGGGAAATTTTTCCTAATATCCAACTGTCAGGGTGTTTGAGCACTGGAATAAATTGCCTAGGGAGGTTGTGGACTCTCTATCATTGGAGATATTGAAGGGTAGGTTAGATAGACTTCTATCAGTGATGATGGTGCTTTGTCCTGCCATGAGGGCAGGGAACTGGACTTGATGACTTCTTGAGGTCCCTTCCAGTTTTAGCATTCTATGCTTTTATTTCAGGAGGATTTTAAATAAAATTCAGGAAATGCAGCATCTGTAATTAATTGTAAAAGAATGGATTTAGATTATCTTGAAATTGAATTTCTGCTAGGGAAAATTTTACTGTTCTAATTTATCTCTCCATACTCCTGTTTGTAGGGCTTGGAAGCTAATGAATGCATGCTTTTCTGCAAGCCTGGAGAACATTAGTGATTAAAAATTCAGCAGGTGCTGCGGTTCACTTAGTGACTTATTCTTTCATCATTTAGGTCATGCCACACTCTTACATTTCTAAGGGTCTGTCTAGCTTTTTCATTCTTAAAATTCAAATTCTCTTGTGCAAACTACCATAGTATTGCTATAACTGATTTGTTAAGGACTGGGTTATGTAGAGTGAATTATTCAGTATTATTCTCAAGTATCCCCTAAGCTTTGGGAATCTCCTTTGTATTTCTCAAGTACTGTTCCCTTTTCTTCCTTTACACCCCTGTTCCCTCCAGCAGGCAATAGGGACGTTCAGATACGTTTACAAAAATAAACGTGTAACTGCTGAATTTTTTAGCGGCTTCATACCAGCTCCTGCCTGCCCCCCACGTTGCTGTCTCTGTATCAGAGGCGGCAGTGCGGGAGTGGGGGGAGGAGAGGCAGCAGCACGGGGAGGCCAACCCGTGTACACTGGTTCTTGCCTCCCCCCACACCCGATACAGAGGCAGCAAGGGTGGGTGCATATAACTGTGAGGGTTAACCTATGAGCCCAGGCTTATTGGTTAAGTGTGTCCACGGATACACATTAACCTCCCTAGAAGGCAGATCCTCATTCCTCTTACTTTGGAAATCCCGTGCTTTCTGTTGGTTGAACTGAGATAAATGCGCCCCACTGTCCAATAATTAAGTATGAGACATACATAGTCTCGAGGGTCCTTACTTGAACTCAGTTTCATTGTGTCAGAAGCAGTATTTTTATATGCAAATGCTCTTAGCTGTTTCAGGCAGGATTTTTAAGTCTGAAAATAAAGCCATCCCGGAAAATTCTATTGGTATTATTTTATCCAGTATGCAGCTTACCTGGGCTGTAAATACTCATGATTCTACTTTTGCTCAGAATGTATTTTTTAAATTTATAATTTGTCTTGGGGTCTTTTACTGTAAAACTAAAATACTAGAAGAGTTTATTTAAACATGGAATCCTCTTCTGGACTACATGAAGTCACTTAACCCATCTTGAACTGTGTAAACTGTGTTGCAGTTTGTTTCCACTTCCTTTAACACCTTGACTTCTTTTTCTTGTTTCGTGTATTGGTAAAAGGTGAAAAAACATATTTTGTAGTTGATGCTTCATTTTCTCTCGTGGGGGGAGGGTTGGATTCTGAAACTTTAGCTTACAGACTTCATTTTGCTGCATCTGTTGTGATTCCTGTAACTGGAAAAAAGAAAACCAAATCAAAATAAGTCCACCTTAAGCTAAGCTGTCTGTTGAGGAGGGTCTGCCGCCATTGCATAAATAACACTCAAGATGTTTTAGCATTGTTAGCAATAGCAATACAAGAATTACTAACTGGGTTTCATACAAGATGGGCGTAGTACAAAAGTGCATCCGGGTGACATTACATACTTGGATCCCTTCCTGCACAGAATGTGCACTTTTACTAATTAACATGACATTTCACAATCTCTTATATGTTATATCATGTTGGTAAGAAGAATACTGTTTGATATACATAGATAACAGATAGCAGAGTTGTTTGTTTGAGTCAGTGTGGACTAACAGACGTTTCAGCTAGCTATCTTCTTTAAAAAGTGGGTGAGGTATTGTCTTTTATTGGGCCAATTTCTGTTGGTGAGAGGGACAAACATAGTTTACATTGAACTGTTCTTCAGGTGACCTTAAGCTCTGTGTGAGCTTGAAAGCTTGTCTCAGAGAAACTGAATTCAGGATGAAGCATGTAGAACAAGTATCTTGATCGAGGCCATGAAGAAAGTGACAGTCATCATCCAAAGAAGTGCCACGGAAGGGCTGTTAAAGGACTTTTTGCTTCAGAGAAGGCTGCATAACGTGAAGACATAAAGCAACAGTAACCGATCAATAATGAGACTTAATACCCCCAATTAAAGACTGTAATAAGAAGACCAAAAAAGTGCCACCCAGGGCCAAATAACAGAGTAAAAGAGGCAGCAAAAAGGCTTCCTTTAAAAATTGAAAGTTTTAAATCCTACTGAGAAAAATAGAGAGGAGCATTAACTCTGGCAAATCGAGTGCAAAAGTATAATTAGGCAGGCCAGAAAGAATTTGAAAAGCAACTAGCCAAAGACTCGAAAAATAACAATTTTTTGAGGTAATCAGAAAGTGGAAACCTGCTAAACAACCAGTGGAGACACTAGGGCTGTGTCTACACTGCACCCCTTTTCCGGAAAAGGGATGCAGATTAGACCAGTCGGAATTGCAAATCCACGGGGGATTTAAATATCCCCCGCGGCATTTGCATTTACATGGCTGCCGCTTTTTTCCGGCTTGGGGATAAGCCGGAGAAAAGCACCAGTCTAGACACGATTCTCCGGAGAATAAGCCCTTTTCCGGAGGATTTCCCGGCTTGGGGATAAGCCGGAGAAAAGCGCCAGTCTAGACGCGATTCTCCGGAAAATAAGCCCTTTTCCGGAGGATTCCTTATTCCTACTTGAATTTATTCTTATCCCCAAGCCGGAAAAAAGCGGCAGCCAGGATTTGCAATTCCGACTGGTCTAATCTGCATCCCTTTTCCGGAAAAGGTGTGCAGTGTAGACACAGCCTAGATGATTGAGGAGATTAAGGGAATGCTCAAGGACAATAAGTACATTGCAGAGAAATTAAATGAATTATTTGCAACAGTGTTCACTGCAGAGGCTGAGAGGGAGATGTCCACAGGAGTCTTTCTCTTTGTGATGAATCTGAGGCACTGTCCCAGATTAATGAGGTTTAAGAAGAGGTTTTAGAATAAATTGATGAATTAAACAGTAATAAGTCACCAAGAGCATTTGGTATTCACCCAAGAGTTGTGAAAGAATTCCAATAGAAAATAGGAGTTCTACAATCTGTGTGCTATGCAATTAATCATTTAAATCAGTTTCTGTACCAAACACCTAATGTGACCCCAGTTTTAAAAAAAGCTCCAATGGTGATCCTGGCAATGACAGGCCAGTAAGCCTTATTTCAATATGAGCAAATTGGTTAAAACTGTAGTGAAATATCAGACACAGAGACGAAGAACACTGTTGGGGAAGAGTCAACATGGCTTTTGTAAAGGGAAATTGCATATCCTGATCATTCCCTCTGAAGATCTGGCACTGGCCACTGTCGGAAGACAGGATGCTGCGCTAGATGGACCATAAGTATGACCCAGTATAGCTGTTCTTACGTTCTTAGACTCTGATGATTCTTAAAAACAAAATGTGCACTGACTCTAGAATACACAACTGAGACCTCTCTGTAAACCAGAAGGGTAACAGAGACTTTTAGCTTCAGGATTCTAGCTGCTTGGATTTCTCTTCAGAGCTATTGTTTGTATATTACATCCTAATCAGGAGTGAGAGGGGATGAGTTTCTAGTCAAGACAACTATTTTACTTTGAAGAAGCCTGTTTTGGATGAAGTTAACTTTGTATTTAATAAAAAACAGGACTAATACTCGTTGCCGACAGCACTTGTTCCAGTAAACCTGTCCATATATTTAGTCATTGAGAGTAAGCTGATGTCTCAGATACACCTGAACATCTTCCTTTTCTACCTTTCTAAACATCTCTTTAGTGCAGTGGTTCCCAAACTTTTCGGCATCATGCCCCCTTTTTGATTTTTGAGAAACCTTCACACCCCCCCTCCCAAAAAAATAGCAGCAAAACTTGGGGTGGGATTGATGGGGGTTGTGTGTGGCTGGGTCGCCTCGCGCTCTCCCTGGAATTTCTTCACAGCCCCCTGGGGGGCACGCCACCCAGTTTGGGAACCCATGCTTTATTGTGTAGGTGTAGAGTGTGTCTACACAGTAAAGTTATTTCGGAATAACGGCTGTTATAAATAATTTTGAAATAATGGGAGGCTTATTCCAACTTCTGTGAACCTCATTCTACGAAGAATACCACTATTCCAAAATAGTTATTTCAGAATAGAGTCTGTGTAGATGCTCCACTGCTGCTATTTCGAAATAGACCTTCACCAGGGCCATTCTAAGTTAGTCCTGGGGCTCTAAATCGAGATAGCACATCTACATTAGGGAAGCCTGCTTTGGACTAATTTTGAGACTTTCCTGCAGTGTAAACATGCTATTTTGAAATAAGCTATTTCAGAATAACTATTCTGGAATCTTCAGGGGGTAGCGGAGTTAGTCTATACAGGATAAACTTAAAAAACAACAAATGGTCTGGCAGCACTTTATAGACTAACAAAATATGTAGATGGTATCATGAGCTTTGCTTATTCCAAAATAACTGTACAGTGTAGATGCAGCCTTACAGACTACTTTTGGTTCATCCATAGTAGCATGTTCAAGCTATTGTATACCATACTCTGCAAAACCAACATTCAAGGTAATTGTTTAATGTTGCAAAAATAATTTAATGTACAGCTGACTCTGTCTGCAGGATGTATGAGGGACAAACTAACTTCATCACTTTGTTGGGATCCGATTATTATGTATGAAATTAGCAAATTTGCATGTTTTTGGCAAGCCTAAACAACAACCATGTAATTGAGGATTGTGTTACCTTCAAACATTCCTAGCAGCTCTGAACTATGTTTGGCTTGTCTTAAGATTTGTGCTTAGGGGTTTTACTAGCTTTTCATTAAGGAAATGTTTGAAGATGCCTTTTTTTCTTTTAGTAACTATTACTGTACACTGAAGACCAATATAAATACAAAGTCTATCTTCTCTCTCTAGAAATAAGTATCCAATAGCTAAAACGCCAACATGAATAAATCCAAACATAATATGCAATTTAAAATTTATGTTGTAAAGTTAGATCTTTTTAAAGGTAAACTGCAAAATGTTTTAAAAAATAGAATTGTGCTGTTTTTGTCTTTGAAGTACTGTGTGAAGAAGGCCTGACATATTTTCAGAAAAACCAGTTTTACTTTTGTGCTCATCTTTTGTTTTTTTAACCTTGGGATATGGAGTGCAACAAGTCAGGTCTTCCTGGGTTTTGCTGAAGGACCTTTGGCATCTCTGATTGTGTGTATTGTGAGCTTTTGTGGTACATGAAGGGTTTGATGTACTGAACCTCAGATATCCTTTCTCCAAAACATTCAAGTAGGGCTTGCCTACACAGCGATACTCAAGAAAGTTAAGGTGAATTGACTTGTAAATTCTGTACATTGACTTCACACCGTTAGCTGATATGCCTTAACTTTCCTGAAGATATGTCTACACTAGAATCATTACAGCTGTAGCCTGATGATTACTACTGTCATGAAGATTCTTCCCATTGTGGTAAATCTGCCTGTCTAGAGATGGCAGGTAGGTAGACGGAGGAATTCTTCTATTGGACCTATGGTATGTGCACCAGGGCTCAGGTTGGTTTAACTAAATATCTCAGAGGAATGATTTTTTTCACACCCGAAGCAATGTAGTAAGTTGATCTAACTTTATAGTGTCTTCAGTAGACATAACAATGACAACTAAGGCCAACATTTACTCACCTTCAGGATTTTTTGTTTTTCAAGAAGCCTACTGAAAATTCCTTTCCATTCAGTTTCTTAGCCTTTGCTTTTGTGATGTGCTCATCTCACTTGTTCTCTGGTGCTTATGGATTGTTCCAGGCAGGACAGAGCCATAATGCAGGAAAAAATGTAGAAAAAAGCTTGGTTTTTAGTGAGAGAAGGAATGAAAATTAGCTGCTTTATTGACCATGCTTTTATATTAACTAGTCTTCTCTTTGATGCCAGGGTCTCAAAATAATTAAAATATAACATGTATTTTTTTCTGTATTATGTTTTTAGCCTGACTCTTTTCTTAGTAACTTAGGAGCAAGCTTATTTCTTCCTTACTCTTAATCATCAGGTCAATAATTTTGTTCAGAGAACTTCTGCTTTACAGAATTTCAGTTTGTGTTTTGTTTTCCTCTGATTTTTTTAAATCTTAACCACTTACAGTTTCTATCATGGGATGAAGTTAGTTGTGCTCTTCAGCTGTTTTATTTCACTGTTAGCTTGGCAGAATGCCAGATGTGAAACTTTGTTCAGAGTGATTTCTCTGTGTTTAGATATTATTCCTATGTCTGCATTTTAACAAATTACAGAAGATACACCTTTAAATTGAGATTCTGCGTTTCCCTTAGGGATGTAGAGTCCTGTTTAATTGGCTAACCCCGTGTTTCTCAAACTGCGGGTCCTGACCCCCAAGGGGCCGTGAGCAACTTAGACGGGGGTTGCAGCAACTTAGAGGGGGTCACAGTATCACAAATTTTGAGAACCCCTGGGCTAACCAGTTAAACATATTGTTCAACCCATTAAGGGGGGGTGAGCAGGGGAGCTGCTGCAGCCCACACCGGTTAACCTTAACCTGTAAGCCTGGCCCCTTAAGGGTGAGGCTAACCAGTTAAACTTCACATCCCTGGTTTCCCTGCTGCTTATCTGTTTTAGGGACAAATTAGCATCTGGGAGTCTTGTTTGATTTGTTGCCTCTTCCAGAATTTAGGTAGCACTTGCGATCAGGAGCCTGCCATTCTATCTGCATCTGGCTAGGCATGATGAGTGATTTTGTTGGATCTAGACATCACCCCTGTAACCCGTGTCTCTTTGTGCCTCTGGAACTGGAGGATATAGCCTTCCAATTCAGCAGGTGCATGCAGCAGCATCCTTCTGCAAAGAAGGCTCTGACCACCCACAGCAGTACCTTTGTACCCCAACACTGCAACCCTAATCCTGGCTTGGTGTGGATGGGAGATGTGGGTCGGGGGAGAGAGTCTGGGCATTGCGACTTGGTGCATGGGGTTGCCAGTGCCGTGTAGGTTTGGAAGTTCTGAAGTTAAATTAATAGATTGAACTAAAACAAAGTTAAACCAAATAACCTTGTATCTAGTACACAGGGTAGGCAACAGCCAAGCTAGGTAGGTTAAACTTTATAATTACACTCCTGAGAAACTGGAGATGACAATTAGAGCATTCTGTGTCTGTCTCTGGAGCTGTTGTGGACTTTGCCTTTATCCCAACATCCCACTGGCTGAGGATAGAACTGTCAGTGAGCTAGCCCAGTCACTTCCTTCAAGAATCTGCCATTTCTACTCTCGCCTCCTTGCAAGTTTAGCTGTGAACACTTTTACCTGGAGACAGCTAATCTTGAAGAGATGCTACAATAGACTTTGAAGCTGGCACACCCTTTCCGGTTCTGTCCCCATTGTATTGAGTGATGAGGAGGACTCTGCTTTCCTGAGCAAAAGCAAAATGCAGGACTATGTAGCACTTTAAAGACTAACAAGATGGTTTATTAGGTGATGAGCTTTCATGGGCCAGACCCAGTCCCTCAGATCAAATAGTGGACGAAAGTTGGCACAACCATATATACCAAAGGATACAATTAAAAAAAAGTGAACACATATGAAAAGGACAAATCACATTTCAGAACAGAAGGGGATGCGCGCGGGGGGGGGGAGGAAGGTAAGTGTCTGTGAGTTAATGCAAGCAGCGCAAGCGGCCGTTTGGGGTCTGCATTCCCCATGCAGCAGGGTGGAAGCACTTTTTGCGCAAAAGCATCCGTGCCAATCTAGACGCTCTTTTGCGGAAATACTTTTAATGGAAAAACTTTTCCGTTAAAAGTATTTCCAAAAAATCACGCAAGTCTAGACGCAGCCTTACTGTGTAGCCAGGTACAGACATAACATAAAAATCATAACTCAGTTGTCTTATGCTGCACTAATTTGCTGCTGTGTTGCTACAACTGTGTTTGTGCACTGTACACTAAACTCTTTGTAGGGTGCATATAGACAATGGTAACAAGAGATTGATTATTCCAGACTTTGGATGGTGCATGGATACAGTTTAACAACACAGGCACAAGCTAGTTCAGTGCAAGAAGACTTAATTATGACTATTGCAGCAGTTAGAAACAAAGGCTAGCAGGGCAGAGGACATCTTTTTGTTCTGGGTTTGTATGGTGCCTAGCACAGTTAGTGCCTAGCCCATGACTGAACAGAAGTGGTCAAGTTTATAGAGAGACAAACAGGGTTGGTGTAGGGCTTTCTCCAAGGAAGGTCTTCAGTATTGGAAGTAGCTTCCTTACCAAGTCTGAGGTAGCCTGAGTTTGACTTTTAGAGGGGCAGTGTCAGGTTCATTTTTCAGGTATTTGCATTAGGGAATGAGGTGAAGTGGGTGGATGAGTGATTTTTATTTTTTAAGGGAGGAATGTTTTTCCTTTTATACTTCTGAAATTAGATAGATGTACAAACATCTGAAGGTACGTGGGTACATTTTTCTGAACCTCAAATTTAAGTAAATCTATTTTCCTTTGAAGTCTTAGACACTTGAGGATTACGGGTGACAATCTCCAGTTTTCTGGGATTGTATTTAGAAAGACCTTGTTGTTCTGCAAAAAATGCTCATGAGTTTTGCTTGGGTGTCCCCTTGTCTGTTTTAGGGAAAGCTATGTAACTTGCCTTGCACAACCGTGGCAAATGACAACACAAATATGGTATTTGGTGCATATCCCTGGGGGCTCTTAGGCATAGTATTGCTTTCAGGAGTTGAAAATGAACCAAACCAAATGAACTAGAGGTTAGAGTGATTCAGGGTGTGGTATGATCTCAAACTCTGACCACTTCTACCAAAGTGCGATTGTGCAATTTTTCCTAACGTGATTCTCTTTCCTTGCATGCTCTGATCACTAGTGTAAGAGTTAACAATGTTCATTTAAACACAGCACTCCTTTAAAATGAGAGCAGTTCACCTTTCTCAGTGGTTGGTTGGGTTCAGGTGTCACTTTACATCAGGTGCTCTGTTGGAGGAGCTGCAGGGAAAAGGGGACATGCTTATACTTGCACGTGATGGAATTAGATTATTTGGTTAGGAAATTATTAGAGAGAGTCACATTAATGACAAAATTAAATCTTCCTCGATATCCCCTGACTTGCTTGCTTACTTGCTCCAGGAAAGGGTCTACAGTTTTTTATTGTTAGCAACAAGTTTTTGTATTTCATGTTGTAAGAAAAATACAATCTTTCTATGCAACTGAGATTTAATAAAATATAATATAATGTTCTTGTAATGGAAAAACCTTTACAACAAATATGTACACAAGAGAGGCACCAAAATGAGGCTGGCATTAGGGAATTTGATCACCCTTTTTAGTGACCTCAGAAGAGGAGTGCTTCCCAGCCAGCAAGCCAGAATCTTTAGTCAGGTTCTTTGAATATTATCATGAGCCTGAACACTTAAGAAGTAATGTATGAGATAATATTAATATTTTATTACAACTTTGCCTTCATAAAAATAAAAATGTTGCTGATTACATCAATAAAGCTCCTAAGATTTAAAAAACGCTCCGTATACCAATTCTGCAAATACCATCTCTGCTTATACCAGAATGAACCAGTTTTTGTTACAGATGATTCTCGTCTTCCAAGATAGATTCGAGTTTGGGAATAGGAGCATATTAGATTAGAAAACCAAACTTTAAATAGTAAGATGATAAATCTGAGTGGGTTTTTAGTACGCTTATTATTTATATTCCCTTTTGGAATTGCTCTCGAGGGAGGGATCTGATTTCTGGCTTATGCCAGACCTGGGGTCCTTATACCCAGCACTCAATCATCCATGTAATCCATTTGGGCCATTTTACGACATTTACAGTGTTTCTTTTTGGAATCAAGTGCATTGAAGTTCTTTGTGCATATGGGCCAAAACTCAGATGCACAAACCTCTGGCCAACACATGGAACTGAACCTCACAGCTGTATGGACAAATCTATACATCTGAAGCTAAAGGATGAGGCTCAGTAGTGAGAGGCTAGGACACTTGCCCCCTGTGTCAACTGGGCATGGATGACACGTAACATGCAATTAGCAGAAACAAAATACAGGACTATGTAGCACTTTAAAGACTAACAAGATGGTTTATTAGGTGATGAGCCAGACTCACTTCCTCAGATCAAATAGTGGAAGAAAATAGTCACAACCATATATACCAAAGGATACAATTAAAAAAATGAACACTTATGAAAAGGACAAATCAATTAGCAGTGATTTATACCAGGAACTGCCCACTGGAGTTAATGGGAACAGTGATTGCTCTTCATTTTTGGAAATTAGGTGTTTTGTTAAATTAGGCACTTAACAAGGCCAACATTTTCAGACGTGTGCGCTGCTTTTAAGAACAGGAAGTGATCTGATCAGATAAACCAGCAGTCTTCCTCTCTGTCTTGGCAGTTAGACCAAAGCAGGTGTTCTGAAAATCAGTTTCCCAGACTACTTTGTGTCTCGTAAGCAACACCCTCAAATTTCTTCAAAGTAACTTGGGGTGGGCAGG